GCGCGGTTGACATTTTCATTGGATGCGCGGGATGTGGGGGATGGGGGGGAGCGCGCGGGAGGTCAAGGAGGACGAGGACGAGGACGCGGGCACCGCGCAGCGCGCCCCAGAGCGCGCCGGTTGGCGGCGACGGGCCCGCCACGAGCTGCCCTCCTAGCGGGCAGCCCAGCCAGGCCGCGCGATCAAGGCGTGCCATGTGCAGAGAGGGATTTGTTTAGTGCGCTCGCTTGAATCTCTGCACGCAGCCGTGAATCATCATCGGCGGCAGAGCTTCACGTAGTTTCGCATTTGCTAGATCAGTATTCAGTATGAGAAAGTTTCAATGTTTCTAAGTGGGAAGCTTCCCTGGCCACATGAACCCGAGGTGCTCATTTCGAGGGCCCGGGTGCCTGAGGCCTCTTCGACCGACTGGAAATACCTGGTCGGCCGGCCGTGCCCTTCCCACTGACTTTGTTTCGTTCAACATTATAATATTTGAGGATTTTTTCATGTCAGTCTTTGTTCCACGCTTTCGAGCGAGGGCTGTGGCCACTGCCTCCCATTGTTCATTGAGTACCCTCGCCGCCCCAGCTGCCATGCGTTCAGTGCGTGGCACCGAAACCTTCGGAGGCCAGCGCTCGGCTGCAGCAGGCGTGTTTTTGTTTTTCTGCCCACGTCGCAGGGCCGAATGCGGGCACTCGAAGCCTTGCACGACTTCTGGGCGTGTGGCACTCGCTGGCGCCTTCACACTCCTCAACTCCTGGGACCCCCCCCCGAAAAAAAAGAAGGCCCCAGGACTGCCCCAAGACCCCAGGACTGCTGGAAGCGCCCCGACAAAGCGTCAGAGCGACAAACGGACAGCCCGGGACTCCCTCAGGAGGGCGCCAGGACGGCTGAAGGACCTGAGGAGGCCCCGAGAGGCCCCCAAGACGACCCCAACAAGCCTCAAGACCTCACCACGCCTCCAGGAAGCCCCCAGAAGCTCCCAAGAGGGCCCCAGGACTGCCCCACGGCTCCAGGACTGCTGGAAGTGCCTCGACAAAGCCTCACAGCGACAAACGGACAGCCCCGAGACTTCCTAGCTCGTATGGCAATTTCCTGAGCTCACCTTAGGAGGTCTCCAGCAAGCCCCCAGAAGCGCCCAACAGGGCCTCAGGACAACCTAAGAGGGCCCCACGACGGCTGGAGGCGCCTCGACAAAGCGGCACACCGTCAAACAGACAACACGGGAACCAGCAGAATGCGTCCTATAGGCATCCTTTTCTTTGTTTTTCTCTGTCTCGCAATTCACGCGCACTTGTCCTCCAAGGTCGGGGTTCGTGACAATATCAGGTTTCTCGGCGAGGACCATCGAGGAGCATTTTGGGCCACCTCGTGAAACAAATGCGCGCACGAAGCCGAAAAATGCACGGGCAATGGACGATCGAGCGATGGCGAGTTGTGGCGCGACCTACAGCACGGGGCGGCCTCGTGGGCCCGCCTGTGTCATGCACGTGCAGCGGATCGCCAGCTGGACGCGCAGTGGTCCGCAGCAGAAAATCCTTTCTCGTCCTCCTCCCCCTCCTCTTCCTTCTTCTCCTCGTCCTGCTGCTGCTCCTCCTCCTCCTCCTCCTCTCCTCTCCCTCCGTCCTCCCGTCCCTCTCCGCCTCGCGCTGTTGGCCGCTCGCTCCCCGTCGGTGCTGGCCCGTCTTCGGCCTTTTGTGTGCCGTCGGCGTGCCGTTTTCTGTCCCTTGCCCCCTTTTGAGACCGTTTTTAATTATCCCTTGGCGAAAACGGGCGCGGGGGAGGGAGGGGGGGAGAGGGCCTGTCACCCGTTGATTCGCGCCGCCGTCGTCCGGGAATGCTCAGGAGTGGCGAATTCCTATACGGCGCCGGCTCGACTCGCGACGTGACCAAAGGGGGGAAGGGCGGGGGGGGGGTGTCACGGGTTACCGCGACTGATACCCACATGGGTTCCTGTCGCTTGGTATCGCTCGGATGTGTGCAGGTTTCGGCGGGGCCCATCGGGGAGCATCTTGATTCACCGGGTGAGAGAACAACGCGCGAGGTCGAAGCATGCACGGGGAATGGACGTACGAGCGATGGCGAGTTCGTGGGACGCGTCAGAGCCGCTTCGCGCTACACGGCGCGCTCCATGAAGAGAGAGCGCCTCGCCTGCGGCTCGTGTCGCCCCTGGCGGAAGGCCGGCGGGGGCCGCCGGACGTGCGAGAGCTGCGGGCTCCGCCGGCGGAAGGTCGGCGGAGTGCCGCGGAAGCTGGCGGCGAGGAGGAGGTTGCGGAGGTGGATGGGGGGGGGTTGGGCCCCAGGTTTAATTGGCGTGCTCTTCAAAGGCGAGCGCCTGTTTCACGATGTCAGGAACTGTGTATAGTTCTATGGTCTTGGAGCTTCAGTCTGCACACGAAGCAGCCGTGGTGCGCCGACGTTTCTTGGATCCGAGGCTCCCGGGACCTGCCGTGCCCAGAACCCGTGGAGGCCGCGTGGTGGGGGGCGATGGGTGGGGGGTGGGGGGGCGAGGGCTGCCGAACAGGGGCCCTTCAGGGCACCTGAGAGGGGCCCTTCAGGCCCGAAGGATTTCAAAAAAACCAAAAAAACAACCAAACAAAAAAAACCTGTTTTTTTGCAATCCTTGTTTTTTTTGTTGCAATCCTTTTTTGCAATCCTTCGAGGGGGTCTTCCCCCCTCCATTTGTCGCCCCCCTTTGAGGCGCCGCCCAGAACTCAGAGCCGGGGGTTCGTGGAGGGGGGGTTCTCCCAAAGGTGGGGTCAGGGATCGAGTGCAGCTGGGCCCTCCTCCTCCTCCTCCTCCTCCTGGAGTCAGGGAAGGGTTGGGACTTCCGGGGCCCCCGCCGCGACAAAAATCACACGACGCCGCAGGCCTGGGCCGCCCACCCGCGCCCCCCAGCCAGTTGTGGTTCGCACTTCCTTCATCTAAGGGCCGTTTAGAGCGATTTCCCCTCCTATCTCTGTTGCGCGCGAGAGGGGTCAATGCAATGCTCCCGAGTGACGCAGCCCGCCGCGCCGGTTGCGTGGCACGAGCTCCGCCTCGTAGTTGGCTCAGCTGTACGGGGTTCGAACTAAGGCGACCGCGATCGCAGCAGCAACGGCAGCAACAGCGGCGACCTCCACTTACACCAGCCACCACTCTTTTTGCGGGTTGCCTTGCGCGAGCTACAGTCAACCTGCAGAGTACGGATTAGCAGCTTTCCGAGTCTACCCTTGCATCCTTGCCCCGTCGGCCCATTCTTGGCGATTTTTGCTGGCCGGCCTCGCCCTGGAGACGTTAGCATGGCCCACCAGTGCCCTTGCATCCCTACCTCGCATCCTCATGTGACGGCCTGACTGTGCTCTCCCCCGACCCACCCTTCGGCGGCGCGCCGAGGGGGGCAGTGCGAGGGCGCGGTCCTCCTCAGAAGCGACGGAGCCTCCCGGAAGCCCCGCGGCCTTCTCCGAGGCAGTCTGCCGTTTCGGAGAAGGCTAGAGCTCTTCCAGACGGCCGGAGGCCTTCCGAGCCTTCTGAGAAGGCCCCCCCCTGCCTCCCTCCCCTGGACTCGCCGCCGGCATCTTGTGCGAGCTACTTGTCGTCCCTCGCCAGCGGTTTTGTTACGACCCCCGACCGAATCTTGTGCGGGGCCCAGGACCGGGACGGATCGTTCCAGAGCGTTCCAGAACGAGCGCTCTGGAGCGCTCTGGAACGGTCGCGGCGCCCGATGACATCCTCCTCCAGAGTCGCCGGATATCAGAGATCCTCGATCGCGAAGGCCTTGCAGCCGTTTCCGCCGACCCTGTACCAGTCTGGGGCCCTCTTGGGGCCGTCTTGGACCGTCCTGAAGGCCTCTTTGGGCTGCTTTGACGATACCTTGGGGTCGTCTCGTGGCCATCTTCAGGCTTCTTGTGCCGCCTTGCCGCCAGATCTCAGAGATCGCCGATTCGTCCAGGTCCGGGTTTGTCCTGGTTCTGTCGGAGACACACTGCCCGAGCTCAGCACGAACCTGGGTTGCCACCAGGATCGCTCGAGAGGCCGCTGTCTCAGTGGCCCATCCTTTTTGGGGTGCTGCTTCACAGCGAAGCGGCGAAAGGAACGAGGCACTACCGCTAGTGCTGTCGGGTGCCGTCGGAATCACGTTCAGGGGCGATCAACCTGGGGGACAGGGTTAATAAAAAACAAACTCAGCACGTACCCGGGTCTGGGTCGGCCACTCAGTAGCTCCCAGCTCCGGGCCAGCGGAGGGCGGGAGCGGGAGTCGGCTCCACGTGGCTGGCTCCCATGCCCCCCGGGCAGCCAGGAGGGATGGGGCCGACCGCCGCTAGCGCTGGCCTGCCCAGGCCTCTGACGTTTGATGTTTGCGTGTTTGCGGTGCGGGGCCTCCGGGAATCCCGAACCTTTCCCCGAGGGCTCGAGGAGGAGGAGGAGGAGGAGGAGGAGGAGGATCAGGAGGATCAGGAGGATCAGGAGGAGGAGGAGGAGGAGGAGGAGGAGGAGGAGGAGGAGGAGGAGGAGGAGGAGGAGGAGGAGGAGCCGGTTTTTCATCGCGAGCCGTTTTTGATGGCCCAGGGGCCAGGCGGCGGCCTCCCAAAACTGCCAAGAACCTCCCGTCGTGACGTCCAGATGCCGCGCGAGTGCGCCACCGCGCTCGGGCGGGCACGGGGGGAGGGGCCCTTGGGTGGGCCAGCCATCGCAAATATGGATCAAGGGGGCGTGAATTAGCGACGGGTTCCGTTTCCATGTTTGCGCGCCCCCGAGGGGAGGGGGGGAGGGGCTGCGTGGAGGCTTCCTGGGGGAACCCTCCCCAAGCTCCCTAGGGCCCAGCAGGGGCCCCAGGAGGCCAAACGGCCAAGAACCTCACGTCGTGATATCATACGTCGCGAGCATGCCTGGAGTTGACGCCTGGCCTCGTCACGGTGGCGGCCGCCCCGAAAGTCCACCGCCTGTTCGAGGCACGGCGCGCTCGCGCCTCGCCGCGCTCGCCACCGCGACGCTCGGCCGCGCCGCGCGCGCTCCGCGCGCGCGCCTGCGCGCGCCAGGCCGCTGGGCGCTCGGACCTTGCGCTGCGGCGCGGACGCTGGGCCGTGCGAGCCAGGCCGGGCCGCGCGGGCGGCGCGCGCGGCCCCGGCGCAAGGCGGGAGAAAGGCGCGCGGGCCTACGGGCGCGGCGCCGGCCGCGGCGGGGCCCCGCGGCGTTGGGGCGCGGGCGGCGAGCGGGCCTCGGCGGCGCCCTGGCGGCCCTCGGCGGCGGCCTTTGGCGGCGGCCCTCGGCGGCGGCCCTCGGCGGCACTCCGCCGGTCCGCAGCCATCCGCCCGTCCACGCCCCGTGAAAGACACGTATGGTGCCACCGCCGCAAGATTCTCGCGGGACGCTCCGGGAGGTCACGGGGTGGCCCGGCACACAACATGTTCTCGTACTGTTCAATGCCGAGAGCTCTTAATGGACCCGATGACATCCCACCATGTGCCTATGCCACGGTGCCCGATTTTGAAAAAATAACAAAGTGACAGCGACATCAGCAAGCAAAAGAGACCCAAGGAAAATCAAGGTACGCGCATTCGAAAGCGATCCCGAATAAACCTCCGTGGTGCTTGGGAGATCACCTCGCAGGAAGCGTTATCGATGCGCTGGACTTGGGAGCTGGGTCCGGCTCTCACTGTTCTTTGCGCTGAAATGACTGGTTGTCGGGGGCGTAGATCACAGAGCGGGCAGATCTCCCCCCGCCCTCGGCACTGCGTCTTCCTCCCTCACCCGCTCCTCCAACGGCGACGAAGGACTTCCTACACACTCTCATTGTGCGAGCGCCCTCCCAGCAAGAAGGGACAAGGGTACCTTTCTTGTGTCGAGAAGGACCCTCTTTCTGGCAGCACGGGGCCCCTCTCAGGCGGTCATCTTGCCGCGAGGAATTGGCCAGCAGGTTTGAGGCGGCTATCCTCCGTGGACCCCCGCCTTGCATTTTACAGAGCTGGGTTCGCCGCGACATCGTGAATACACTCAAGACGCCGAAATAATGAGTAGTTCGGGTTCGGAGGAGGCTCGCTGTCCCATATGCCCATCAGTGGTGGCTTCTCCAGTGTCCCTCGTACTCGCAGGGGCTTTGACGTCAAGCAGGGGCTTTGCTTCATGGTTAGCGTTCCTTATGAGAGTAGCTTGACTGTATCGGCGAAGTCTACTGAAATCGCTCCTCCCTGCTTCCCCGCCTACGTGCCTCCTTACCCCCGACCTCCCTGAAGGGCTGATTTCGGTCAGATAGATCCGATCCGAGTGCGGCTGCACATCCTGGCGCCACTGGCCCCAATCGATTTATCGATTTCGACCCTTTGCCGACGCAGCCGAGGCCGACGCACATATTCCGGCGGCGCGCCCAGGGGGGAAGTGAGAGGGGACAGGCCTTCTCAGGAGGCGGTTGGGCTTCTCGGAAGCCCTCGCGCTTTCTGAGACGCCGTCTGGGTCTGCGGGGAAGGCCCGAGAAGCTCCTTAGAAGGCCAGAGGCTGTTGGGCCGGCCCCCTCTGCCTTCTTCCCAGGGCTCCCCGCGAAAGGTCGCCCCGATCCGACGATGCGATGCCGACGGATCCTGCCCTGCTGCTGCTCCTCGTCGTGCCCGCCGTCGCCGCGCCCCCCCCCCGCGCCGCGCCGCCCGACCCGAACTCCGCCTGGGCCCGAGCGCGCCGGCCCCATGCGCCGCCGGCGCGGGCGGGGTCGACCCCGGGAGCGGGCAGGGCACGAGGAGCGTCGAGCGCAGAGGGTGCGGTTGCGCGGGGGTGTGGCCTGCGATCGGCACCGATGGTCGGGCCGGGCGAAAGGGGGGGATTGGGAAAGGGGGGGGTACGAAATCTGCTGCATGCAGCTGGTTTCGGCCTCACCGAGAGGCCCATTCCTCGATACATGGCCGCCTCCGGCGCCGGGAGGCGCCGGGAAAATCAGCTACGTGAGCTGATTCTCAAACCCCCCCTTTGCTATCCCCCCCTTTCGCCCGACCCGAGATGGGGCCGGCCACGCGCAGAGGTCGGTGGGGGCAGGGGGGAAGGCTTCCCAGAAGCGCCCCTGCTTCTCAGGAGGCGCGGGCCTGGTCTGTAGATGCAAGGCCAGCGCCTTCTGAGGAGCAGCCTCCTCCTGAGAAGCCTTCCCCCCTCCGCCCACCCTCCTCTGCGCACCGCCAATGGGGCCCGGGTCGGACGGGGCCGGGACGAGGACAACTCTGCTCCGGAGCGTTCTGGAACGCTCTGAGAAGGCCGCGGCGCCCGAGCCATCCTCCGGAGCCCCCCGGATCTCCGAGATTGTCGATTTATCCTCACCCGAGTGTATCCTCGTCCTGGCTTCGTCTTTCCTCGGGAGCCCGACGCTGTCCTCGTCGGCCTCCTCGGGGCGCGGCGGAGAGCTCTGCCGAGGTCCTCGCCCGTCCCCCAGGGTGCCCCCCTGGGTGCCAGCTGCAGACCACGCCCTTTGCAAGCCACACCTGTCTCGGAGTCGCCGAGACGAGGGGGCCGACGATCGGAGCAGCGGAGCGGCATGAACGAGGCGGCAGGAATTGGAGCCAAGCCCGACTGCAGTTCCCAGACGTGGTCGCGTCGTAAAGTCATCCTGGCGATGGGCCCAACCATCTGCACTTGTGAGTGCGGCACTGTCTTTTCAGAACGAAGCCCCAACACCACAGGATGGGTTGGGACAAATCAGGACGTCGCATGTCTGGGGTCCTGTCCGTTTTGAATATCACTTGCGGCCGGCGTTGCCGCGGACGTCGTCCGCCTGAGCCAGAAAGGCGCCTGTCCAACAGCGGCCGCTGTCGGTCTTAGACAACATTTGCTGTTTGGCATCGTGCAGGTTTTTTCCGCGCCCATTTCGGACGTCCAAAGAGCAGGGTTGGAGCCGGCTCGGGATCTGAGGCGGCCCAGCATTGATTCTGGCGAGCAGGAGGGGGGCGAGGTTCGGGCTTCTGGGCTGGGATGCTTTTTTTTTGTTTCTGACTCTGAAGACCGTCTTCGGGCCCGGGGACCGTCAAAAACGGATCCCGGGTGAAAAGCTTCACCAGATGGACCTTGGAAGGGGTTTGGGGAGCGATCTTGATCGCATTTGCCCTCGTCTTCCCTGCTTGATCGATCTTCTCAGGGCCCGTCCAGTTCAGGCCCCGCTGTTACCTCCAAGTGCATGGCCAGCCCATCAAGCAGTGGCGACGCGTCCTGATCTGGCTATAGTCCTACGATCAACTGTCATAGTGGGCTTTATGTGTCTTGTGCAAAACGTTAGTAGAACATGTCTGGCTGAGCGGGTGTTGTTTGAATCGAAGACGCCCACGGCGAATCACCGCCGCCCGCTGCCTTCTGGAAGATCATCTGTGGCCGAACGTCGCGGCCAGAGCTCGGCCACGCTATCGGACTATGGGTTCCCCCAGGCCGTTGTGGGAACCCTGCGGGGAGGGGAGCACTTGGGGGAGGAAGAGCAACAGGACGAGAGGGAGGAACAACGGGGAGGAGGAGGAGGAGGAGGAGGAGGAGGAGGAGGAGAGGAAGGAGGAGAGGAGGAGGAAGGAGGAGGAGAGGAGGAGGAGGAGGAGGAGGCCTCTTGGGAGCTTTTGGGGCACTCTTGTGGTCAGCTGTGCGCCTTTGAGGGCCTCTTGGAGGCCTCCTTGGGCCTCGTGGGGGCGGGCGTTGTGCAATTTCCGCCTGTCTTAGGCGTTCCTGGCCTGTCTGACGCCGTCGGAAGCCGTCTTGCGGGCCTCTCTGGGTCGACGTTTATTCTCTTGGGGCGCTTCACGGCCGCTTGGAGGTCATCTTGGGTGTCTTGCAGTTCTCCTGGGGGGTCTTGTGGGCGTCTTGGGGCCCTCTTGGGCCGCTAGGGGGGCATCTCGGAGGCCTTTTGGGCGCCCTTGGGGCCATCTTGGTGGCCTCTTGGGCTGTCTTGGGCCGTCTGGCAGCCAAACATGAGCAAACGCCCAAATCCGTCGAAACCTGCGGAACCATCAATCCTTTCGGCTCCTTGGGGCCGTCCTGGAGGTCCTCATGGAGGCCTCTTGGGGGCCCCTTGGGCAAGCATTGTGTGGGAAACCAGGAAAAACAGTCAAAAGCTTGGCACGCCGTGTCCCACTGTGGCAAGCCAACAGGGGGCGGGGATCGAAGACGCTCACGGCGAATTACCGCCGCCCCCTGCCTTCTGGAAGAGCCTACGTATGTGGCCGAACGTTGCGACCAGAGCTCGGCCAAGCTATCGGACTATGTGTTCCCCCAGCCGTTGTGGAAACCCTCGGAGAACACCTGACGGAGACATCATGAGAGGAGGAGAAGGAGAAGAGCTTTTTGTGGCCTCCTGGGGGCCTCTTGGACGCCCCTCAGGGTCTTCCTTGGGCCTCTCAGGGGCCTCTGGAGGCTCCTTGTGAGGCTCTTTGGCCGTCTAAGGGCCTTCATGGCCCGTCCACGCCGTCGGGAGCCATCTTGCTGGCCTCTCCGGGCCAACTTGAGGCCCTCTTTGGGCAGTTCAGGGCCGTCTTGGAGACGATCTTGGCTTTCTTGGAGTTTTTGTTGGGCCGTCCTGGAATCCTCGTGGGGCCGTCTTTGGGACCTCTTGGGCCGTCAGGGGGAGCATCTCGGATGGGCCATCTTGGATGCCTTTGGGGCCGTTTTGGGTCGTCAGAAAGCAGAACATGAGCACACGCCAAAATCCGCCAATCACACAAAGAACATCTCGGGCCTTCCTGGAGGTCCTCTTGGAGGCCACTTGGGCCGACTTGGAGGCCTCTTGGGGGCCTCTTGGGCGATCTTGAGGCCATTTGGGGGGCATCTCGCGCCCCATCTTGGAGACATCTTGGAGCCATCTTTGGCTCTATTTGGGGCAATCGTAGCCGTCTTGGAGACCATCTTGGCCGTCTTGGAGGCCATCTTGGGGCAGTCTGGATGGGGACATATCGATGATCTCGGAAGTTTACGGATCCTTACGGGGGTAGAAGACCCATGACCCGGGCGTCTAGCGGAGCTTTCCGGATGGCTGGCGGGTTTGGCCGAAGGTCCTGCATTCAGAAAGGACCGACAGTTGTTTCAAGTCTGGTACGACGTGCACCCGTGTGGCAAGCCAGCAGGAGGCGGTGGATCGAAGACGCCGACGGCGAATCACCGTCGCCCTTTGCTTCTTCGAAACGCCCGTGCGGCCAGACAGTGGCCGAAGCCTGGCCAAACCATCGGAGCACGTGTTACCC